GCAGAGAGCCTGGAGCTGCCTGATTGTATCCCCGCAGCCCCCCCACCTCTGCTCTGTCCCACCGCACCCTGCTGGCCCCCGTAACCTACCCCACCCACCCCTGCCTGCTGAGCTCTGCACAGGGCTGGTCCCCACAACCCCAACATCCTGGAGGCCTGCCCCCAGGGAGGGAGGGGGAAGGTTCACAAGGCATGTTGTGGGCATTGGGGGGCGACCCTGCCAGGGCTGCAGACTTGCTTCTCTCAGACCTCTCATCATCGTGGGACTCTACTGAGCTGGATGAGTGGATTTAGCAATGAATTAATTATTAGAGTGGGAGGCAAGAGGGTGTAGTCTTTGTGAACATGGATTGAGGTCTGAGCTCGGCCAATTCTTAGCTCTGGGATCTTCGGCCAGCTGGGCTCTAAGCCCTGGGAACGCGGTAGTGACTGACAGACAAGCTCTTGCTCTCATGGCACCTGTTTTCAGGAAGGGGGACTGAAAAGAGCATTAAACACAGACAGATAAGCTGGGCAATCTCAGGAAGCGACGAGTGTTGTGAAGAAAATAAGACAAGGTAACGGGGAAGTGATGGGGCAGGAGGGACACTCAGAAAAAAAGAAGGATGCAGCCACGAGAAGGCCCAGGATACGAGCATTCCAGGCAGAGGGCACAGCAAGTGCAAAGGCCCTAAGGAAGGGTTTGGTGTGCTTGAGGCTCAGAAGGAGACCAAGGTGGCTGGAACTTCAAGGCCAAGATGAGGCAGGACCCAGCAGGATCTTGGCTGTAGTGAGGAGTTTGGACTGTATTATAAGGACATTAGGAAGCTGTTGGGGAGTTTGAAGCCTGGCAGTGACAGGATCTATTTTATATTTTAACTAGAGGCCTGGTGCACAAATTTGTGCATGGATGGGGTCGGGCTGGCCCGCCCCGATCGAGGCCAATTGGGGCCAGGACAGTGAGGGGGAGGGGCCAGAGGAGGTTGGCCAGCCTGCTCCAGCCCTGATCGGGCTGGTTGGCTGGCCACAGTGCATGTCATGGCAACCACTTGTTCTGGGTTCTGGTCGTTCTGGTCATTCCGGTCACTTGGCTTTTATATATTTAGACAAGAGCTCCTTGGCTGCTAAGGACTTTTGACAGGTTAGGGTTAGAGGGTGTGTCCAGGAGTGGATTCTCAGAGCTCTGAGTTCTAATAAGGCTGGACCATCTAGCTGAGTGAGTTTGATAAAGTGACTGCTTCTTTATCACTGTGCCTCAGTTTCCCCATCTACATAACAGAATGAGGCCTCAGAGGTCAAGAGAAATACAATCCCTACATTTCTTGAGGTTTTCTGTATAGCATTAGAAAATGAGAACATTTTCAAACAGAGTTACAAAAATTATTGTGTAACATGTATGTTTCTATTCAAGTTAATGCTTTTAGCAAGTGGCAATGCAGTGTAACTGTCCTACACACACGATGATTACAAGATTTATAAAAACGATTAGTCCCTAGCATTTCCTGCAGTGAGGTCTGGTGACCAGGCACAAGTTAGCTGCATGACCAACGGTTTCTTCTTCCATTCCTGGGCATAATTCTGTTCCTGGCTAAGCTCACATGGAGGAAACACCGGAATTCTGAATCTGCCCCTCCCCATGTGTAGCCTGAGCCAGAAGGCCCCCAGCCCTCACTGATAGGCCCAACTTTGACCTGTCTGATTTCTGGCTCTGCTGGAGATGGAGGGATGAAGGGACAGGGTATGGAGCAGGGGGTGGGCCCAGCCTTCCTCAGCAGATGGGGATTCCCCTCCTTTGCCTTGGCATTGCCCTTCCCCCACCCTAAAGGGTAAAGAAGAAGGCTGGGAGGGAAGGGGAGTTGGGGCGATGCCCCTGGGTCCACCTCCCCTCCTTAGCCTGCAGCTGGTCGTTAGCTGGGGAGTTGAGCTTACACTCTATGAAAACTTGATTGGATTTAATTGCTTTGCTGATGGAAAAGCCACATTTCAGTATTGATCTTGGCTTCTGCAGCCCTTGGAGGATGGCCAGTGATTGTTCTCATGGAGGGGGCAGGGAAAGGGGGGCTGGCTGCCAGGGGGCAAGGGCTGGGACTCCATCCTCATTGTCCTCCCTGGTGCTTACCTGCTCTGAAGAGGCCCTTGGGAGACCAGGGTTCTAGTCCTGGCTCCACCTCTGAGTGTCTTTGTGAGAGCCCTCCTGTGGGGCTCGATTTTCCCCTTTGAGAATGGGGGGCAGGCAGAGGTGGTGGGGATTTGTCAGGGCGTGGAGAACAGTATAGCACAGGGCTTTAAACTCCCTCCTGGAGTCTGGCTGCCCGGGTACAACACATGGCTCCACTGCTCACCACGGGCGTGACTTTGGGCAGGTGCTTACCTCCCTGAACCTCTGTTTCTTCCTCTTAAAAGGCAGAATAGTAATTACACCCCCTCAAAGGGTTGCAGTGAGGGCTTGACAAGCATATAAAGCTCTCTGCACAGTGCCTAGCACATGGTGAATATTCTACATTTGTAATTGGCTCCGTTTTATTGGTGTTGTTTTTTTAATTAAGGCATCAACGACCGAATTGTGCGTAAAGCACCAGGAAAGGAATTAGAAAATACATTTCCAGTCCCAGTTCTGCCACTGATGAGGCCCCGGCTTCTTGGGCTGCAGTTTCCTCATCTGTAAAGTGGGGTCCTTGATGTCCACGGCCAGGGTGTTGGGAGGACTGAATGGGGTATGACTTGCCCAGCAGCCTCAGGGGGCAGATCCTGAACCAGGCCTCTCTCCCAGGTGAGTGGGGAGACCCAGGGGGTTTGGACAAAAGTCCTGGAAGGCAGGTGTGAGAGCTCTGGCTCAGCCACATACAAGTTCTACCCTGCATTTTTTGGGGGGCTCTTTGTGTCCTCTGCACAGAAGATGTCTTCTGCAAATTAATATAGCTCTTCTGCAGAGAATACCCACTCCCTCAGAAGGGTTCACTCATTTCATCATTTGTTTTCTTTATTCAGTTATTTTTTGAGCACCTACTATGTGCCAGGCATTTGGGTAGATGCCAGGAGTGCAACAGAGACCAAGTCTCCGCACTCAAGGGTAGAGATATCAACGAGAAAGAGTTAGATGTGCTATCCAGGGGCCCTGAGAGCACAGAGGAGGGGCCCACCAGCCTGGCAATCAGGGCAGGCTGCCAGGAGAGGGTGACATTAAGGGCGGGTAGGAGTGAGTGATGGCCAGTGAACAACCAGTAGGAGGTTGAGGGGGTGTGTTCCAAGCCGAGGGAATCGCTGTGTGAGGGCCCCATAGTGAGAGGACTGAGCAGGATGTGCCCAGAGAAGGGAACTTCAGCGGTTCGTCTGGCGGGAGCGTGGTGTGAGGGGCAGCACTGGAGGAGGGGCAGCAGGAGCCTGGCCTGGCTTCATGGAGTTTGGGTCCAATACAGGGAGGGCTCAAGGATGCTCTTCCTTTGAGGCCCTAGAGCCTGAGGCCCACAGAAGGGAAGGGACTTCTGTATCGTTGCAACCCGGCCTCTCTCTCACTGCCCGGATAAGCCAGAGCCATTCCTGAAAGGGCCGGGGCTGCCCTGGGAGATGGTGATCATAAGAGGGAGACATCGAGAGGGTGGAGGCTCCTCCTCACCTGGGGCTCACCTGGGCGTCTCTCTATCCCTGTTTCAGACCATCAGAAGCTGGAGCGTGAAGCCCGCATCTGCCGCCTGCTGAAGCACCCCAACATCGGTAAGTTCTAGGGGGCAAGTGAGGGTGCAGGGTGGGGCTTGGCCTTGCTCCCCTGCCCATCTTGGTGTGTGTGTGTGTGTGTGTGTGTGTGTTTTGCTGATAGGGTGGGGAGGCAGCTGCTCTCTTTTCTGGGGATGGCGGCAAGGGAGATGGGAAAAGGGGGTGTCTTTGATGGTTTCCACATTTTCAGAGACCAGCTTGGTTGGGGGGAAGGTGAAGAAGGGGCCCTTCCTCGCAGCCCACGTTGCCGGCAGCCTCCTTCAGAAAAGCTGTTTCAGGAAAACTCCCGAAGCCTTTCATCTCTCCGGAGAGACAAAAATAGGCCGAGCTTGGCCTTGGCCAGTGCAGCCCACTTCCCTAACCCACCCCCATGCTGAGTCAGCCTGGCACGGTGGTCCTGCCCACCTACCTAGCCCTGTGGCTGCCCTGCCCCTTCAAGGCTAGCAGCAAGGTGGCCCCTGCCCAGGGATAGAATGCATCCAGAGGCTGTGTGGAGGGGCGGGGCCCAGGGCAGGCCGGGCTCGCCTCCCCACCCCTGCACAGTCTGAGGGGTTGTGTCCCTGCCCATCAGGGTTCAGAGTCCTGAGGGAAAGAAGTACAGATTCTAGATATAGTTCTGCAGGAAATGGCTGTGTGACCTTGGGTAGGAGCACTACCCTCTCTGAGCCACTTTCTCCCACCTTCACAAGGAGAGTGCTGTCGGACCCACCTGAGCATCGTGTTAACCAGTAGATTCTGGTTCGGCAGATCTGGGTCTGGGTGGGGCCCAAGACTTAGCATTTCTAACGTGCTCGGAGGCAATGCCAAGGATGCTGGTTCAGACCGCACGCTGAGGAGCAAGGCCTCGGTGCCCTCTAAGGACTGTACCCACTCTGACTGCCACCACACCGTCTCCCTCCAGAGAAGTGTTTCTCTGTGCCCAGGGCCCCAAGGGTTAACTCTTCTGCTGGAGAGAAGCATCTCCATCTGCTATTTATACCCCGAAAGCACCTCCCCTTCCCTGGGCCTGGGAAGGGGAGCAGGGCCGCACAAACAGCAGCAGCCCTGGAGGCTCCAGCGCCAGAACCAGAGAAGGGGCGGCTGGTGGGAGGAACTCTGATTGGACTCTGGTCCCTGGTCTGCTCCTGGCCTCACTGTGCGGCGCCCTCCCATGCTCCAACTCCCCAACGGTACCTCGGAGGAGGTTGTGAGTGATCTCCGACTACAACATCCCACAGTTCCTCTAAAGGAGGTGTGAGTGTGTGTGTGTACACGCGCGTATGTGTTTTGCTACTTCATTGTCGCTGTCTCAGGTCAATGCTGCCTCCTCCAATTTGCACCCCATCTCCCTCTCATTCCCAGCTATAATGGGGAGCAGTAAATATGGGTTCTGGGGCTGACAGACTGTAGCTCTCTGTATCATTACCACATGCAGACCCCAGAAGACCACCCCAAGGAGCAGGGGACACCCTGAGGGTTTACCAGGTCACTTGGGATGCCAGGCACTGGGTGGAGTATCTTGCCAGCTCCCTTGCTGTTAGGAGAGGAGGCTCAGAGAGGTTATGGAATTCACTCGAAGTTACACAGCTTGTAAGAGGTGTTGCTGGGAGGTGAACCCAGCAAGTCCGACTCCAGGGCCCTTCTCAATCATTCTATTTAGCGTCCCAAGTGGACCCCAGGGGTGTGCTGTCAAGGGAGGCGTGTGGATAGGGGGAAAAGTACTTCCCTTCAACTTCTAAGAGAAAAATGATAACTGTTAGAACTACGACAGGAATGTCAGAGATTCGTGAGTTCAGCCACATAAATGAAAACTAGGTTACAGAATGTTTGTTCTATGACAATGTTTTAAGAATTCAAAAAAGTGACAGCATAATTCACTGGGCACAGACATGCCAATCTCTGCACCGGGGGTGGGACTGTCATGTAGCCCGTGGTCCTTGGATTCCGCTGTCCTCCTGGGCGCTGGGCTGAGCTTGTCGTCAGGGAGGCCTCTACCGATGGGAGGGGAGGTGGAGGGGAGGTTTTGTGTGTGAGAACAGCAGTGAGAAGAGGCGCTGTCTGCTGGGCTCCGAGCGGTGTCGGCCACCCCCCAGGGACCGAAGTTGACTCCAGAGTTCTCCCTGGATCGGGCTGGAGTCCAGCCCCCATTGCTCACCTGGCTGCTCAGAGGGGCAGCCTTTTACAATCAGCACAAAGGCACCGTCTGAGCTGAAGTCAGCTCTTCAGAAACAACACCCCCATCCAGTTCTGTCCGTTCCCTCGAACCCCGAGGACCCTCTCTCAAGGGGCTGAGGCTCCTAGTGAGAGGGTGGACCTGGAACCCCATCTCTTTGGAGCTCCCCGCAAATGGCTGTGGGGCAGACCCCAGAAGGCCTTTCTGAGATGGTTCTGGCTGCAACTTGGCTTCTTGGAGCTTCTCACGCTCAAGAAAGGGGAGTGAAAACCTCTCCCACCTGCTGGAGCAGAGGAGGTAGGAAGGAGTCTATCGCCGAGAGTCTACCCAGTGGTTCTCAACCTTGGCTGCACATTAGAATCACCTGGGAATCATCCAGAATGAGGCCCAGAAATCAGGATTTTAAAAAGATTCCCAGGTGATTCTGGTCTACCCAAAGGAAGGTGGGAGAGAAAAATGTCTTTTTTTTGGTTGTTAATCCTCACCTGAGGATATTTTTCCCATTGATATTTAGAGAGAGTGGAGAGGAGGTGGGGAGGGAGGAAGGGGGAGAGAGAGAGAAAGAGAAACATTGATGTGAGAGAGGCACATCAATTGGTTGTCTCTCGCCTTGACAGGGCCAGGGATGGAACCTGCAACTTAGGTACATGCCCTTGACTGGGAATCGAACCGGAAACCCTTTGGTGTGCGAGCTGACACTCTAACCACTGAGCACACTGGCCAGGGTGAAAAGCGTCTTTTCCCACCCTTGGCCTTGATACACTAACAATGAAAGTTTATTGTCCATAAGTGAGAAGACAAATAATTTAAAAAGTATCTCCTATAACCTCAGCAGCTAAGACTGTATGATTATGCTTCCATATGATAGCTAATGCCTGTACCTCTCAAGGACATCTATACATCTCTCCTTGGGTCTGGTTTCCTTGAGGCATAGCCCGAGGCAGGGATTTAGGTACTTGTACTCCCAGCAGAGACCTGTAAGGGATGGGGATGGGGGAGCAGGAAGGAGAAGGGGAAGGAATGGCCTGAGGTCAAGTCTAACTGACTTAATCCCAGGTGAGGGGTGCAGTGGGGAGGCCTCTGGAGCATAAGTTCCATCTTGGAGTTGTCCCTCCTTAAGGCAAGGAGACTGGACCTTTGCAGCGACCTTGCCTCCTCACATTCCTCAGTCATTGGCTGGAAGCTGCAGGTCACCTGCTGGGCAAGGTGGCTCCCTCAGCAGTGGGCAGTTCTCCAGAAAGGAAAGGCAGCTGTGTGCTGTGAGCAGGCCGCCTTCCCAGCAGCGGCAGGTGGCTGCACCCTCTTACCGAGGGGGCCCGGGCAGAGCCCCAGTGCAGGGTTGCTACAGTCTGCACACAAAAAATGCAGAATGCTTAGTTCAAAACACATCTACCTTCTAAAAATGAAGCCTGCGTTTGCTTTGACGTGCATTCAAAAATTAAAATCAGTGAATGGATGGAGGAAGGGATATAAATGTAGTTTGGCAAGTATAAGGAAACATTAATGGTAGAACCCAGGTGGTGGGCACATGGGTGTCCACTTGACTATACATTTAAAATTTTTATAATAAAGTGTTGATTAAAAAATCAAAACAGGATTATATTATATGTCCTCAGAGGCAACCTGCTTTTTAGCTTTGCTTTGAAATAGATTTAAAACATCTTTCAGGCATTATTTATAAACATATATCATCATTTAAGAATTAAACATTTTAAAAATTTAATCTTGTGTCCCTTTCCTCCTCCTCCATCTCTGGTCCCCATCTCCCCTTTCCCCAGAGTAGGCACCCAGTCTGGGGTATTTGATGCCTGTTTCTCCAAACTTTTATGTGCAGATATGAGAGCCATAAAGAATTTAGGGGAGTCAGTATTGAGTCAGAAATCCATGTACATGGCAAAAATTCCAATGGCATTTGGAATGGGTTCACAGTGAACAGTAAGTCTCACCTATCCATGACCCTTGTTCCTCTAATTCCCCTCCCCAAAGCACCCCAATGCCCACATCTCCATCTCCTCCAGGGAGACGTCTGACATATACAAGCTTAAATGTATCCTTGAGAAAAGGACAACGCACACAGTTTTGCATTTTGCTTTTCACCAAACAACATAATTGAGAGCTGATTCCGAACGAGTGAATAGATAACCACCGCGTGATCTTCACAGCTGGGTAATTTCCCATCGTGCGATCCATCATAATCCTCTGGCCTGCACCCGCTCGGTGCACATTTCTAGGTTGTAGCGCAGGGGAGGGTGTGAGCCTGTCTGGGGAGAACCTGCGCTTGGCTGGCAGGGTGCAGACCCCCGAGTCAGCCCCAGGCTTCGGGCCCCTTGTTTCAGAAGCTCAGGGGTTATTTTTGGGAGCCCTGGGCTCCTGGGACCCTGGCTCTGTTCTTGGTAAATGAGGTATGAAGGGAGGACAGTTTTTCAGCATGCCAGAACTCGGGGACTGCTGTCACTGCCGCCTCCACATACTCTATCATCTGCTCAGACCTGGAAGCAGATTGGGGATATTCACTTGGCCAGGGCCAGCACTGAGTGAGCACCGACTGTATGCTTCCAAGTCCAAGAGTCTCATTCTCATTGTCCAGGCAAGAAACGAGAGGCTCAGAAAGGTTTAGCAACTTGCCCAAAGGCACACAGCCAGCAAGTGGCAGAGATTGGAGCTATAGGATCATTCCATGATGCTTGTCTGCCCAGAAAGGAAATGGAGAGGTGGGGCGTGGAGGAAACCAAACTTTGACCAAAAAAAAAAAGGGGGGTCTGCCCAGCCAGTGTGGCTCAGCAGTTGAGTGTGTCGACCTACGAACCAGGAGGTCATGATTCAATTTCCAGTCAGGGCACATGCAGGGTTGCGGGCTTGATCCTCCATTTGGGCTGTGCAGGAGGCAGCCAATCAATGATTCTCTCTCATTATTGATGTTTCTATATCCCTCTCCCTTCTTCTCCGAAATCAATCAAAATATATTATATTAAAAAGGGGGGTCTGTTGTCCTTAAGCCCAGGCCCTCTTGGCAGTGCCTGAAGAGCGGGAGTCACTGTTCACCTGCATTTGTCAAAGCACCTCGTACCTCATTGTGCTCAGTGACTGAGAAAAAGCAGTTGCTGCCGGAGGGATGGGGGCGGGGGCAGGGGTAGGGAGCAGTGTGCTCTCCTGTAACCAGCTGCCTTGGCTCCTCCCGCAGTCCGGCTCCACGACAGCATCTCTGAGGAGGGGCACCATTACCTGATCTTCGACCTGTGAGTTTGGGCCCATCCTGGGATGTACAGGGCACATCAGGGCAGCCCAAGCAGGGAGGACTTCTCTGGGTCTCAAATGCCCCCAGACTGGGCTGAACTCCCTCTCCTGGTAGACTTTCCTAGAAGTGGCTGCAAGTTGGTGATCCTGAAACGCCAGCACATTAGCTTTGTCTGTATTTGTGGCTACTGGTGATAGAAAGTTCCCTTTTGGAATAATGTTAAAGTTTTGAATGCCAGTCGATTGAGTGAAAAACCATAATTAAATGAGAGGCCTGGTGGTTCCCGGGCTGGAGCGGCTCTGTGATGACACTGGTCTCATTGGTAAAAAACCCCAACGGCCCTTGAGATGTTGATAAGGGGGGAGACTGTGCATGTGGCAGGGACAGCGGAGAGTGGGAAACCTCTGTGCCTTCCCCTCAGCTTTGCTGGGAACCTAACTCCACTCTAAAAATAAAGTCTATTGAACAACAAAACCAAGACCCGGCCCTTGGGCTTCTAGGAACCTAATGAATCCTAGTGATGTGTTCTGAGGGCCCCACCCTAGCTCCCACCTGGGCTTGGTCGGGGAAGAGCCAGGAGTGGGAGGGAGGGAAGTTAGTGGAAGGCTGGGCTGGAAGCCAGGAAGGGGGTTGCAGCAGGGGACATCCCTGTGAGTCCCTCCCTTTGGGGCTGAGGTTCTGAAGTCCCAGGCCCCGCCCTTAGCTCCCTGGAGACTCTTCCAGCAGAGGCGGCACCTGGGGCCTCTGTGGGAGGGTGACGGTGCCTGTGTCCCCAGGGTCACCGGCGGGGAGCTGTTTGAGGACATCGTGGCCCGGGAGTATTACAGCGAGGCTGATGCCAGGTGAGTTCCCCATTTGGCCTGGCAGGGCATCTCGCCTGCCAGCTTCTCGGGGGGGGGGGGGGGGTGTGGGGGGGCGCATCTTCACGTGGTAACACCTGCCTTTCTCTCCCCAGTCACTGTATCCAGCAGATCCTGGAGGCCGTGCTGCACTGCCACCAGATGGGGGTGGTGCACCGGGACCTGAAGGTGAGCCCCTCAGCCCGAGGGTGCAGCTCCCCAGGGACTGCTCCCCCACCCCCTGTCCTTCCCTCCACCTGCAGAGCCACCGGTGGTGTCAGATTCCCTTTAATTTCCCCTTGTTGGGCTGGATGGAGAATATTCCCCTCACCGTTCAGATAAGGAAACTGGGCTTAGGGAGGTGGAGCATCTGGGCTCGGGACCCAGGCCTCCCGGCTCCCAGCCCCACGTGCTTTGTGCCAAGCAGGTGAGACACGGCTAGAATGCCAAGCGTGGCGATGGCCTGGTCCAAATCCCAGCTGGGCCACTTTCTAGCTTCACAGTGTCAGCTTCTTTATAGTGGGTGTTGCCATAGCAACCTCTGCACAGGTTGGCGAGAATGTCAAAGGAGACAGCACAGTGCCTGGTACACAGATGCGGTTACTCTTTCCAGGTCTCTGGCAGCTGGGGGTAGGGAGGGCGGGGGGAGGATGAAAACAGTTCTTGAGGCCCTCGGGCCCTCTCTCTTTTCCCACCTGAAGAAGGAGATGGGCAGGACAAGCAGATGCGGAGTCCTGGGGTGGCATCAGCGCACCGTCTTGCTGGGTCAGCACAGACTTCACAGCTCTCCTCTGCTGGGCCTCATGGCCTCAGCAGCTGGCAGCTCATAACATCATTCCTTTTGTGCAGAGCAGGAAACTAGGCCTAAAGAGTCCCAGAGCTTTGCCTGAGAACATGCAGTTCAGTCGTGTCTGAGCTAAGACTGGAACCCTGGCTTTAGATCCCAGGCCCTGGGTGGTCTGAGGCCAAAAACCACTCAATCCAGCTCCTGCTTCTGCAGTAGCCTCTTCTAGGCGACCATCAAACTTCTGGATATCCATCAAACTTCTGCTTTTTGGTCTTCAGTGACTACAAAGTCACTTCTTACAGGGTAGCCCCTGTACCGTTGGGAAATGCTCCTTCATTCTTCCCTGCTATGGGGGTTTCCCCAGTTCTACCCTCTGGGGCCACACAGATCAAGCCTCCAGCTCGGAGCAGCCCTGGAGGCACTTGGGTGGTGTTGTGGTAGCTCCTGAGTCACCGCAGGCTGTTCTCCCACTCAGGAGAGGACTTCTAGGCCCTTCTCACCCTGGGCACCCTCTAGTCAGGCCAGGTTCCTTTTTGGGCTGAAATGCTCTGAGCAGAACCCCTGCCCACCTCTGACTGCCATGAGTAGTCCATGGCTCCTCACCTGAATGCAGGTGAGCTCCCTGCAGCTCAGTCTAGACTCATAGGCAGGAAGGTCTCTGGCCAGACGGCCGGGTGGCTCTCCCCGAAGGCCTGTTCCCATTATAGCTGCAGCCCCTGCATGGGAGGAGGGGGGCGGAGAGGCAGCACAAATTTAGGCCACTCTGGATGGAATAATTAGTTGCACATTCATCAAATCAGGGCAGGACAGCTACTGAGACCCAGGACATGTTGGGAACACAGTCCCCAGAGGACAAAAGGGGCCGTAATGAGCTATATTTGTTTGTGGCCCATCTAGCTGTGGGCAGTGAAAGGTCAGCTGTGGGACCCTCTTGGAAATCCAAGTGGAGAAGGGGTCAGAGGAAGCCAGCTGTCCCCAGGGACTTGGAGCCCAGCCCCTCCCCATGCAGGAAATGAGTACTGAGCTTATCAGGCACTTGCTGTTGCCACTGTCTGCCACCCAATGATAGGCACTATCCCCATGTTCTGGGAGGTAACGAAAGCTTAGAGAGGTGAAATAATTTATCCAAATTCCACAGCTGGGATCAGAAGCTAGGGCTATCTAACTGGAAAGTCCACGCTCTTAACTCCTCTCCGTCCTAACTAGGGCGATTTCCTTTCTTCTAGACCCAGCAGGAGACAGCAGCCTCAACACCCCAGAGGCCAGGAGGCCTGTCTGAGGCCCCCCTGACCTCCGTTCCCCATCCCTGTCTCTCAGCTTAGAGTGGTTAAGAGCCTGGCTTGGGAGCCAGACTGTGCCGTGATTCTGGATCTGTCTCTTACCAGCTCTGTGATCTTTGTCAAGTCACTTTACCTCTCTGAGCCTCAGTTTCCTCCTCTTTCTACATATGACAAACGCTTACTAAGTACCTGATATGTGCGGGCCTCTGTCTTAGGTGCTGGCGATGCTGTGGTGGACAAGACAGATAATTCACATACTACAGGGCGACAGATAATGTACAAGCACATAGACAGATGGGGGAAAAACAGTACAAATCACAATGAGATCTATGAAGGTAACAAGAAGCTAAGATAGAAGATACCTGGGGGCTCTTCACAGAGTAGTCATGGAGGGATTCCCGGAAGGGGTGACATGAGGGTGAGAGCCAGATGAAGAGAAGAGGCCGGCCCTGTGAAGCTCAGAGGGAGAACAAATTAGGCAGGGGGAACAGGAAGTGCAAAGGCCCTGAGGTGACAACTAGCATGACTATTTCAGGGCTATAAGAATAGGAATAATTATGCCTACCCCACAGAGTTGTTGAGATGACAAATGAGGTTATGTGTGCAAAGCCCTTCACCTAGTGGCTGGCACATTGTAGGAACACAGTAGATGTTGCTTCTTTTTTCTTATTGTGGTGGTGGCTGTCCCTTCCCCCATCTCCCGCCCTCCCCTCAGCCCCAGGTCCAGACCCTGAGGGGAGGGAAAGGAGGGGATGGATGGCTGGTGGAGGAAGGTTCTTACTGTTGCAGACTTGCAGTGGGGTAGTCCTCTCTCTGGGGACTAAACTCAGGGTCCTGGGGTCGGAGCTGGAGGTGGGGGCAGCGTGCCTCTGGATTATCCAGCTGCTCCACCTGTAAGCCTAGGCTCCTGGAGATGAGATCCTGAACCTGCTCACGTCCTCTGGCCCTTTCTTCCCCACCGTTCCCTCTTCTCTCTGGTCCTGGGAAGCCGGAGAACCTGCTGCTGGCCTCCAAGCTCAAGGGCGCTGCGGTGAAACTGGCAGACTTTGGCCTGGCCATAGAGGTGGAGGGGGAGCAGCAGGCATGGTTCGGTGAGTGGGGGCAGGGGGTGTTGGGGGTCAGCCTTGTGTTCATATGTTGGCCTCTAGGAACCTCTGCCCGAACAGGGGCAGGTTGGAGATGATGTTGGACCAGCCAGGGCTCAGGTAGCAGAGTTAGAGGTCCCGCCCCACCCAGCCTCTGGGTCAGTGGGTAGGGCTAGGGCAGGGACATGGTGACCAATCGAACAGAACATAGCTTCTTCACATGCACATATACCTACACTGTTGGCTAGAGGCTTCCAGGGGTTTCCCCCACATCCCGAGTGCTGGAGATTATAATCCTGACGTTACAGATGAGGAACAGAGGCTATGAAACCTGGAAAAGGTCAAAGGAGATTACGAGGGGCAGAGCAAGGTTTTAAGCTCAGATGTTCCAGCATGCTCTGAGATTTGGGCATAACTGAGTCTTTCCCGCTATCCGGGGACCCTTTTTAGTAGGCAATATTGCCCAGTGGTTAAGAGCCAGAGCTCTGGCTTCCAGTTCCGCTTCTGCTACATATGGGGTGTGTGATTGGGCCTCCTTGCACCTCTCCTAGCCTGTTTTCTCATCTGGAAAATGGGGACAATAATAGAATGTCCCTCAGGGTTGGGTGGGGGTTAAATGTGATCAGGCATAGAAAGTGCTCAGCCCTGCTTAGCATACTACTCAATAAATAGGAATCACTCTTATGATTACTTGTCCATTATTTCAATCGATCCTCCCAACAATGCTGGAAGGTATTTCAAATAGGAATCCCTAAGCCCCCATTTGACAGATGAGGAAAATGAAGCCTAGAAAAGAGACCTACCCAAGGGGTTGGGGGTAAAGACAGAGTGAGGGACAGCCTCCTGTCATCCCAGGACCAGCTCCTCAAAGGGTAGAAGTGGGCCCCAGCTCAGCGTGGGGCCTACTGGCAAGGACATTTTATCTTGAGTGCCACCAGCAATTGATTGGTAGTGGCTGCTGGGAGGATGTGCTAGAAGTTCATGGAGCTGAGTCAGGACCCCATGGGAAGGGCTCTGGGGTTGATCAGTGACTTCTGCCCTAGGCTCTGGAGTGGGGGTGGTGCCCAGTGTCCTTTGTACTTGTCTCCCATGGGCTAGAGGTGTTGCTGGCCCCATCTGAGGGCAGGAGGTGCTGTTGCCATCTCCAGGGCAGCCCTCATCCCTCCTCCAGCAGGACCTTGCATTGGTTTACTTACGTGCCACCCTCTGTGTGTGTCTGCCTGTCTGTGTGTCTGGGGAGCAGGGTTTGCCGGGACACCTGGATACCTCTCTCCAGAAGTGCTGCGGAAGGACCCGTACGGGAAGCCCGTGGACCTGTGGGCCTGCGGTGAGTCCTTCCAAAGGCCCCTCTATCCCCCTGGTCACTGGCACCTCTGGTGCCCGCTCTCCTCTTTCCCATCACTCCCCTCCCCATTGCTTCTCCTCACAAGGGGCTGAAGTTCCTCCTGGCATTCTCCCCAGGAGTCATCCTGTACATCCTGCTCGTGGGCTATCCCCCGTTCTGGGATGAGGACCAGCACCGCTTATACCAGCAGATCAAAGCCGGCGCCTATGATGTGAGTGTCACTCTTCTCTCCAGCCTCCCTGCTATCCCCGGAGCCCCTTCCAGTGAGAGCCAATGGCCAGTGAGGTCAGGACCCGAGGATGCCCCCCTCCTGCCCTCCCAGTCCATCTAGGTCTCCTTGCCACTCTCTAGCTGTGGGCCAGGGGGTGAATGGCAGGTGGAGCTCGAGGGCTGACTGAGGCCAGGCGATGAGCCGCCTGTGTCTAACGATGGGGTCTAGCC